TCGTCTCTTGATTTCTATGCCACGGTAACACAGTTGTATGTATGTATGTTTAACTATCACATAGCAAATCACAAACTGAACGGAGCACTGACTACAACAGAGCGCTTCCCTTTTGGTCGCTAGTTGTTGGGCTGACGATGGCTGTTTGGAAAATTTTAACATATCAGCAGAATCCTGCGGTGTGCTTAATACGCCTCCAGTAACTCCTACCTTTTCCAAGACTGCAGTAATGTGAGCCGCTGAATGCAAAAGTGGTAACACCGTAACACTACTTTAGGAGCAAGTCGGAATTCACACGGAGGCTGACGGTGCCACAGTTTCACTAGGGTGCCGGAGAACTGCGGCAGCAGTGTAGCTGCACGGAGCCTGTACAGACAGCTGCATAGATTAAAATGAGTGTATCTGAAGAACACATCTGATACACTTAAGGTCTAGACGTGGGGGCAATCATGGTTTGTATTTATTCAATCAAACAATACAGCAGTGGTTGTTGCAGACTCTCCTGGCGGAGATCTGCACTCTGAGTGCACTTTGCTAAAGCAGCTACAAAGGCCTTAGAAAAGGTCATACATCGTATTTATTATACATGTTGCATACTGCGTCGTATACACATACCGTAGTTTATAGTGAATGCCTCAAAGCTTTAGACATCTTAACAGTTCAGACACATGTTTCAACCCACTTCTTTTTAGCTGTAGAGGTGGAAACAATCTCTTTAACCGGCACTTTTATATTTGAGCCTTCAGGGGATTGTGTGTGTGTGTGTATATAGATATAGAACTCCTGCTTACTTGTTTTGTACGTGTTGGATTGAGCTGTTATGTTTGGTTGGTTTGGAGCCTGGCACCAGTCATCTGCATAATTTAGCACAGAAGGAAGGGGGGAAAGCAAACAATAGCCTGCAGAAGGCTAGTTGACACTGTTATTGGTTTAGTATGCTCTCTTTGTGTTTGAGTGGAAGGGACTTTGAGGAAGGTGGGGTGTCTCTTAGAACTTTCTTTCACTCATAACTTCAATCTGAGCCGGTGGCTGCTTCTCATGTACTGTGGGAGTAATTGCTTTATTTTCTAATGAGCCAGGCTGCAGTTTATTTCCTCTACGGTATATAATTAATGCTTGTATATATTTATTAATCACTAAGTGTAATTTCTCTGAGTGTTTATTTACATTCCTGTATGCTGTTCATTAGCATCTGTCCTTCTCCTTCAGTGCCGTTCTCACTTTCACCTACAGCATCTGTCGCTGATGTTGCATTATGTCGGGTTATTACAATGACTTGATGCCTCAAAGCAAAGTATTTACACTTTCAAAATGCAATTAATTGGCATGAAGCATCTTCTGAACACTTTAAAATAAACACAACAAATTACTATTCTTTTTTTACATTCAGGAATTGAATTAGTGTGTTTTAGAGCTTTTTATGTTGTTGTTGGGCCACCTTAAACAAAGCAATTATCTTCTGAGGTTGTATAGGCCTAATTGCAATGTATCACAATTTCATTTGTGTGTGTGTATACTATTCAGATTTTCTGTAAATTATAATGGGCACCAAAAAGATGAGAGAAATACCAAAGAAACAGGACAAATGTCCAACCACTCGGGATCCATTCGGTCTAGTTAGGTGCTGTCTATATTTAATGCTAATGTTTCTTCCTTATTTAAATTTTTCATATTTAGTACGAAAATAGAATATGAATGGCACAATGACGACTAACTGCAAAGGCTCAAGGTCATTGAATCTAACGAATTGTTAGATTTGTTGTCTCAAAGGAAATAGTCATATTTATTTTAGGACAGAGCTACATTTCTACTGTACACAAGTTGAGAGACAGTCGCACAGCCGCACACACACACGCTGGTTGATCATACTGCCTGGAATTTCTTCCATTCAGCTTGAGTGGACAGACCTAAAATGCAATGATGGATGCCATGATACAGACATTCACAGAAGTCACCATGAATAATAGATAATACCTGTGTTTTCCGACATCAAAAAACAGACGGATGGAGATGGACACACACACAGTGAGAGTAGGATCTCAGAGTGTGGCTTTGATCTGCTGCCTAAAATGACTGCATTATCCCACGGTTGGAGAGGAGGACTCAAGGAGCTGCACAGATGCTTTGCGTGTGTGTGGGTGTATGTGGAGTACTTGTGTGTGTGTGCTTCCATGGTTTCACTCATGTGTGCTCCCATGGTTTCACTCATGTGTGAGTGACAGGCACAACATATTCATTAGAGTGGCTGTTTTCACAGAGGAAAGAAATGAATTGATGTTTAAAGGTCAGGAAAGAGATGAGCAAGGAAGAGGAGCCGTCAACTGATGAGGTGACTGAGGGGAGAAGGAGAACGGATGGAATGGAAATAGAAGACAAACGGTAATGGAATCAGTGCCTTTAGTGCTAGGAATCCAGAGTGCCTTTAGTACGAGGAATCCAGAGTGCCTTTAGTACGAGGAATCCAGAGTGCCTTTAGTACGAGGAATCCAGAGTGCCTTTAGTACGACGAATCCAGAGTGCCTTTAGTACGACGAATCCTCTGTAAATTACAAGGAATTGGGTTAAACAAATCATCATATATATGGAATGGAAAAAGTAACCATGAGAATTAAAAATCAATTTAATATATTTGAAGAAAGATGGGAATAAATGGGTGGGGTCTACAATACAACATTTCTAACATGTGGCAATAAGACAAATGTGTGTGTGTGTATCTATGCCCCCCAAGTGTTTCTCTTTGTTTGTATAATGTATCCTCTTACTTGAATTTATCAGTTCAACTGCCAACTATATCTTATGAATTCATATTTATATAATCCGTTTTGTTGATTATTTTGTTTTATCAAAAAAAATTCCCTGTGCTCTGCAACCGTATAATTATTTGAAGTGAAAAACACACAAAAGAAAATCCTGAGGTGTTTAAGTCAAAAAACAGCAATGACAGTAGGGTGCAGATCTCTGCTGAGTGTCCGCAGCAACCACTTCTGTAATGTTTGATTGAATGAACACAATCCACAATTGGCCCCCCCCACCTAGACTGCAAATGTTTCCGCCATTTTTCATTTGCACGTCTCACTCAACAGATTGGCTCTCATTTTATTCTATACAGTCGGCACCTGGTCTGTGCATGTGCTCGTCTCTGCTCCGTCCCACGTCGTAACTGCGACTTGAAGTGTTTATTTCGGCTTATAGTCAATTTTCTCAACAGCACACGTGTAAACAGGAGTTTGATGCCCAATGAAAAGGCCCAGAATAACTGTGTCTCTGGCCGCAGAGCAGCAGCTGAGTGGGGGCAATGCAATCAGCTTTGTTATCACTAGCAACCACTACCAGCTGGGGATTGGTTAAGAGTAGGCACCTTCAAGGCTTCAAGTCTATTTTTTTTTTTTTGACAGTACGCGTGGAAATGTGAGATCAATGACCAATAAAAAGGCCCAGAATAACTGTGTCTCTGGCTGCAGAGAAGCAGCTGAGCAGCGGCAATGCACTCAACAGTGTGTGTACTGGTAGTTCAGTTAGCTGTTCAAACACACCGTTCAAAACAACATAAGTGGACAAACTCTTTTCCCCATAGACATACAGTCTACGCCTTTCCCCCAGTGTGTCTCTGACTGCAGAGCAGCGGCTGTGTGTCAGTGACGCACTCAGCTGTGCTATCACTAGCGGCCCCTACCGGGCCAGTTGAGAGAAGTGAGTGAGGAGTCAGCAAGCAGTCAACGGTAGTATAAAACATGCAATAAATGTCAACGCAACCACGAGTGGTCCTTGAGCATGCAGCCATAATATTATCCAAAATATTTAGCAGTATGTTGCAGCAGAATGCGAGATGAGCTGTGGACAGACGGAGAGATGCACAGTCACTCACAAATGCGAGCGACTGCATGATTCTCCTGGTGGAGATAATTGTAGACAGGAAACGCCCCTCACACTCCCATGCCACTAAATTGAACCCTAATGGCCTTAATGGCAGCGCTCCTCCCAGACATAAAGGCCTTTTGACTAAGCTAACTACAGCCCTTTGTTGTTCTTAGTATTTTTGAGTGACAACCCATTTTGCTACTTAATTATACACGGCATAATTAGCACTTAGTCAAGAGTGGGTGGTGCTTGCTGAGTATCATACTTTGGGCTGCCTGTCTTTTGTTGGCAGAGAAACAAAGAACTGGTCTTTTCCCCGGTAATTAAGTTGTTTGCTTAGCGAGGCCCACGCCATCACACACGGCATCTAAATATAGAAAGCTTCGCACTGCAATATCCATCTTCAATTTTGTTCCCTCTGTTGTGATCAATAAGAGATGAAATATCTGTTGGGCTCAATTACACCACGGCTCCCCTAGATTGAGTCAGAAAAAGTTCCGAGGTTGGAGAGACTCGGAGAGGAAACGGGGAATCCAGATTAAGAGCTTATCCAACCGTTCGCAGTCTCGTGTAGATACAGACTTGTCAGTCAATCCATATCTGTATTGATCTATTGTCAGTCCCAGCGTACCGACCTGGGCACTGGTCAATGCCACACACACACACACACTCACACACTCGGACAAAGAAGGTACGCAGCACTTGTCCATTCACGGAGTGCGATGAAGCTGTCTGCTCTGACACAGATCAGCTTCAATAATGAATGCGGTATCTCTCTGCTACCTACTGCTGTCCTTGTTCATTCACTCTCTTTCTTCCTCTCCTCTCCTAACAGCCTTGTTGGATTTCCCCAGGCTGCCTCTTCTATTGCTCTCTCACCCTAGATGAATACAGTATGGCATACTGTAAATATGAATTTATCAACATATCAATGCCTGCTGTCTGCCAATGTCCTCCTTGAAAGACAATTTGCAGCATTCTTCCCTCCCTTTGTGTGAAAACTGGAAATACAGGAGAGTAAAGACTGTTTCCGATGCCCCTGAGGAAACTCCTCATGCTCCTGTATTCATATTGAATGAGACTGGAATCCCCAAACTCATCTCTCTTCGTTCTCCCTCTCTCTTCTCTTGTCTTCTTTGTAGCCCCGTCTCTGATCAGTGAGCTGCGAGCGGAGAAGATCGAGCAGAAGAGCATAACGTTGGTGTGGAGGTCGCCTTCTTACCCAAACAGCAGCCGCACTGAGTACGAGGTCAAATACTATGAGAAGGTAAATCCACTGGTTCATCAGAGTCAGTCCACATTATTGTTTTTCATTGCTCCATCACTAACCAACTCTTCTAAATACAATATCCAATGTTTTTTTTTTTTGATAGTTATTTGATATTTTCTTTAACTCTCAATTATCAGTATCGGCACCGGACTTGACAATCCTGTAGACCCATCATTCGGGTTCCAGATGTGGTGACCACATAGACGGCAAAATCATCCATTTGTTTCCTTTTTCCTCGGTGCACCGAGTGAGCAATGAGTGATACTTAATGTAGTGGAAAATGATACATTTTAGGACAATAGAAACTCACCACAAAGAGAACTACGGGATGTGATATCCTGACTGTTGTGTGACTTTGGAGAAGGTGGTATTTTTACAATCCTTCCCATGAGATTAAATAATTGTCTTGAACCGCCAACTACTGACAAACGGCTTAAAAAGTCTTGTATTATTTTCGTAAGCTTCAAGGGCCAATTATGCAAAACCCTGAGTTCATATTACTGCCACATTTAGTTTTGCTTTTATGGATAACCACTGTAATTTCATCGGCCTTACTGCGCTAAGTTAACATAGCACTTAGTCGGATTGCGGCCTCCCCGTCAACAAGCCGTAGTCTTCACAGTAAATCTGTCATGCACGTAAATCACAGCTGTCACGCTCACACGTCTACATTTTCATACGCTGCGTTTTCTGGCGACGCCAGGCCTTTTGTATTTGTCTGTGTCACACTCGCACCCGTTTTAACACCTCCTCCTCTTCTCTATGCTTCACCATATTTAATAAAGCCCTGCTCCTCACTGCTCTACTCCCACTGATTTACAAAAACAAATAATAATAAAATAGGGGCAGATTTAGAGGAGGGATGGGGCGAGGAGAGAGGAGAGATAACAAGAGGTATACAGTAGAGCAGTTTGGAAGGATGAGGTTCCTGTGTGATAACTGAGCTAGAGAAAAGGTTAGAGAGGGTATTAGGGACAGATGACTTGGTGGAATGATGCTTGTAAGAGCAGAGTGATGGAGAGAAATGAAATGAAGAGGCTAGATGGAGGAGAAAAGCAGAACGAGGGAGGCAGACGAATGGAGAGAGAGAGCAAAGGATAGATGGAGAATAACTGAGAGTGAGACAGGAAAATTGGTGACAGGCCATGAAATGAAAAGGCAATACAACTACACTGCAGCAAAGAGCCTATTAAAGTATGAAAGTATGAAATATGGCTTTACTTAGTCCGTGTATTGCCTTTCTCTTCCTCCTTTTTTTATCATTTATTTATGGGCCCACAAATACTGATATTTCTAAAACCCCTTGTTAAACATTCAGTGTTTTAATCGGGATCACACACATTGTCGACGGCAGTGGTGACCAGCACCGACGATGACTTAACGATGATTCACTCGCCGTTTATTCATAACGCGATATCACAATGTGTCATCTCTGACTCTGTTGTTGTTTCCCTCCATCCTCCCCTGTCCGTCTCTTCTCTGTGTCACGTATTATATTAGCTCACTAAACAGGAGTCACTCATTATAAAGTAGCTGCCATTCACTTTCTCAGTGAATCTCTCTTTGTCTCACTCTGCATCTCTCTCTCTCTCTCTCTCTCTCTCTCTCTCTCTCTCTC